CTAGGTCGATGTCATTAAATTAATAGATTCAATTATCTAACGAAAATATTGTGATGATGATTAAAATTCTATTGATTCTTAGATTATTTTTAAAAGCTTAAAAGTATTTTTTGTGATAAGATTAGTTTCCTAAATAATTTTTTCATAATTTTTAATTTTCTTCATCAAAACTTACAATTTCCATTAATGTTTCCATTTGATTTAATTTCATTTAGAATATATTATAAATCAATCAATTAAGTAAAATTTTCAAGTTCTTTCTTTATGTAAGTTTTGAATGACTTTATGGATGATTTTAATTATTGTAAAATTGGTTAATCTAATAACATTTTTTTTCTTGTCTGTTGCTTAGGATTTTCACTTGCTTCATTAAGCAATATCAAATTTTCTTCATCTTTCTGAAAGTTGATTTGTAAAAACAAGCAAAAAAATGAAAAATACCTATGTACAAAATGTCGACTATATCTCATTGGAAAACTTATTTTTATTTCTAAAGTTTGCATAGGATATTTATAGATCATATAATAAATATTTTACTTTTGAAGTGATTAATGATTAATTGCTAAACAGGTAAAAATATTGACTTCTAAATTATCTTAAGAATATTAATAATAAGGATAATTTATAAATATTGAAATATCATCAATTTGGAATTTAATTAAGGAAATTTAAATATCCAAGAGTAATTTAAATCATCTGATTTAGGTATTTTGTTACTTTCAAGATTTTAACAATTTAATAAATATAATTAAAATTTTATTTCCCTAAAAGAAGATTATAATATGGAGTTAAAATTGAATTATAAATTGATATTAGAGAGTTTATACACTAATAGTAAAACTCAAAACTATTAGTTTTAATAATTGTTTGTTTTATGATTTGAAGAAATTATCAATTGTAAGTCGGTATAATCAATAGTCAATATAAAAAGAAAAGTGTTATATTTGAAAATTGGCCCTAACGATCTTGAAATATATTGCTATGCTTCTTGAGAAAGCATACTTACTGTTTTAATAATCTTCTGTCGCAACATAGATAACATTTCCCCTATTATATATAAATATATTCTGATTTTAAAAATACATCTAGTGCTCAACTCATTAATGTCCGTAAATAGATTTAAAATCCATATTGTATCCATACAGTATTTTTAGAACTCTCTAAAAATAATCAACAAAATAATTGATGAATAAAATATAATTTTTGAATTAACTCTAAAAGAAAAGAAAAAAACAACTAATATAACTCATATAATTAAGACATCAATAGTGTACAGTGTCATGTTAATTGTATCAAGAGTTCTAAAGCCACAGTATTTGTATTTTATATAAGGAAAAAGAAGAAATTCAAAACTTAAACTTAGAGAGTTGTTAGGCTTAGTATAAGCATATAATTGCAAGAAAAAATAATAAAGTTAATAAAATTAGGAAAAGGAAAGTCAACAGTATTTTCAAAAGAAAGGAGATGAATTAGCAATTGGATTTTAGAAATCTGTTGAGAAGCTAAGAGGATAAAATTTTTCATTGAATGCTATAGGAGCCTACCTTGGTGTATCATAAAATTAAGTTTATTATCTTAACAACAACAGAAATTTTTAAATTGCTAAATTCTAAATAAGCATACTTCAACTTAAATAAAATCATGTTTTATGGATAAGGAAATTTCTAACACAAAGTGAAATTAAAGATTCAGAGTCATCAATTTAATTTACAAAAAGTTTTAAAAATAGTTCTAAATAAGTCCCTATAAGTAAAAAATTATTTTATCTAAATATTGAAAAAATACTGCAAAAGCTACTTACAGATTTACAAGCAAAAAAGACATAAAAAAAACTTAAAATTGGGATTTTATTTTAGCTATATAAAAATGGGCAATTAAATTCTTAAGCTACTCGAAAGAAAATTACGATTTTATTTATTTAGATGAGGTTTCTTTAGGCCATTAGACTAGGTAATTGATATGGTAATTGAGAGTATCAAATTATCAGAAGAGGACAAACAATATTGTAATTATAGGAACTATAGGAAAATATAATTTTTTAAGCCATCAAGCAATGATTGGGTATGTGAAAAGTAAGATTGTCATCATTTTATATAGCTAATTAGGCTTGTAAAAAGTCATTATAAGGAAAGAAATGTTGTGTTTGTTCTTGACAACAGCTCTATTCATAAATAAAAAGTGGTTTAAAAATTATTAACTGAAATTCCACATCTTTTTTTATCACCATATTACCCTTAACTCAACCCTATAGAAAAATTGTGGAATACATTTGAATAATTCATAAGAAAAAATCACCAAGTGCCTACTCAAAATTTTCATAAAATGATTCATTATTATCTCAATTCAATTACTAATGAACAATTAAAGAATTATTCATGGTCTTTGCTAAAAGAATTGAAGAAATCAATTCTTTCTGTGGATTATGATTATATAAGCATAAATTAATGATGAACAATTTCATTCATACTTTCTTTCCAATCTGCTCTACCGTATTATAATTCAAATAAAATTAGATCCTTAATACGTCCAGAAAATTTGACAAAAATAAAACCAGATTATAACTGGCCTGTTTATGTTGCTATTATGCAGAAATACACCATTTACTGGGAGGATTGATCATTAAGTATTAGAGTTTACATAAGGTGTCTTTATTTTGAAAGTATTCTATAACTAATTTTATATCATAAGAATTCGTGATTTGGAGAATAAATCTAAAGTAGCTAAATAGTTTTTATGAACACTCATAAGTATTGATCTTAAAAAGAGATTATCTACAAAAAAAGTGTTGGATGATCATTGATTATTAAAAAACCAATCCTACAACTTAATTAAATTTAAGAGTGTAAAAACCCTATATAATTTCTAGTAAATATTAGTATAAACAATAAGGCATAAACACTTATTAGTTAAGCATTAATGTCAACTATGATCACACAGATACATAAAAAAAATTCTAGAGATTATAATTTAGGATATCTCTCAAAATGTAATTAATTATTAATTTATAAATATTTTAAAAAAAAATGCATTATCTTTTTTCTTTTTGAAAAGAAAGTAATTGGATTTTATTTAAAATATTCTTCTTCAATTTGTTCAATAGTTATCTTTGCTCAAAATATTTTTGATGCCTTATGCAAAATAATAAAGTATTGGTTTGGTTCTCCAGAAATTCAGGTTATTTCTTTAATGTGCTAATTTAACTGTTAATTTTTAATTTTGATGTATTCAAATAATATTTCAATTTGCAGAAGCAGAAAGTTCGCTGCTTTAAGTAATATTTTTGCCTGAACATTAATTTCTCTTTAAAAGCTGACTTTTTACAAGTTGTATACATTATGTCATAGATTTAAATGCTTATTATCAAAAAAAGATACTTAAAGATGACTGACAGTTGCATTTTAAATTTATTCTGTTTCTTAGAAACCCAATAAGTTAATCAGTAATTTAGATAATTATTTGGTTATTTCTTCTAATTGTAATATTACTGAAAAAAATCTATATTATAATTATTAATCCTTTCTTTTTTATTATTTTTGTTATTAAATTCAATAATGAGTAACTGTGTACTATTTTTGACTATTTATGAATAAGTAAACGATTAATTATAACTATAAATTTTAGTCCCTATCATTACATCCAAAATAATTTAAAAAGAATGACTTTTTGTTAATTTAAATTTAATTTTTATAAATAATTATTTCACGCTTTATATTGAACTCTTCATTATGCTCACTGTTCTCTGTTTAGATATCATTTAAAATTACATCTCTATAAATATTAATTGATAACAGTTTTTCTGATATCTCATTAATAATACCTATAANGAAATACACCATTTACTGGGAGGATTGATCATTAAGTATTAGAGTTTACATAAGGTGTCTTTATTTTGAAAGTATTCTATAACTAATTTTATATCATAAGAATTCGTGATTTGGAGAATAAATCTAAAGTAGCTAAATAGTTTTTATGAACACTCATAAGTATTGATCTTAAAAAGAGATTATCTACAAAAAAAGTGTTGGATGATCATTGATTATTAAAAAACCAATCCTACAACTTAATTAAATTTAAGAGTGTAAAAACCCTATATAATTTCTAGTAAATATTAGTATAAACAATAAGGCATAAACACTTATTAGTTAAGCATTAATGTCAACTATGATCACACAGATACATAAAAAAAATTCTAGAGATTATAATTTAGGATATCTCTCAAAATGTAATTAATTATTAATTTATAAATATTTTAAAAAAAAATGCATTATCTTTTTTCTTTTTGAAAAGAAAGTAATTGGATTTTATTTAAAATATTCTTCTTCAATTTGTTCAATAGTTATCTTTGCTCAAAATATTTTTGATGCCTTATGCAAAATAATAAAGTATTGGTTTGGTTCTCCAGAAATTCAGGTTATTTCTTTAATGTGCTAATTTAACTGTTAATTTTTAATTTTGATGTATTCAAATAATATTTCAATTTGCAGAAGCAGAAAGTTCGCTGCTTTAAGTAATATTTTTGCCTGAACATTAATTTCTCTTTAAAAGCTGACTTTTTACAAGTTGTATACATTATGTCATAGATTTAAATGCTTATTATCAAAAAAAGATACTTAAAGATGACTGACAGTTGCATTTTAAATTTATTCTGTTTCTTAGAAACCCAATAAGTTAATCAGTAATTTAGATAATTATTTGGTTATTTCTTCTAATTGTAATATTACTGAAAAAAATCTATATTATAATTATTAATCCTTTCTTTTTTATTATTTTTGTTATTAAATTCAATAATGAGTAACTGTGTACTATTTTTGACTATTTATGAATAAGTAAACGATTAATTATAACTATAAATTTTAGTCCCTATCATTACATCCAAAATAATTTAAAAAGAATGACTTTTTGTTAATTTAAATTTAATTTTTATAAATAATTATTTCACGCTTTATATTGAACTCTTCATTATGCTCACTGTTCTCTGTTTAGATATCATTTAAAATTACATCTCTATAAATATTAATTGATAACAGTTTTTCTGATATCTCATTAATAATACCTATAAAAAATGAAATAGCTGAACTAGTGAAAATGATAAGCAGATCTGATAAAGAAATAATTAGAAAATATTAGAAATTTATTGTTGATAAAAATCATGCTCACTTTTACTAAAAGTCTTCAATAAAGTAACTACCTGTTGATTTGAATATTGATCTTAGATCGTATCCCTCATCATTTTAAAAATTTCCTTTCAAGATCAGAGCTCCTTATGCTAGAAATAATGGTGTTTAAGATATTCTTAGAATTGTTAAATTGTTGGATTCTATAAAGTAATTACCTGGTAGAGGATTTTTTTAAAAAAGGGCTGCTTTAAATTAAACAAGATTATCAATATATGTTTTTTCAACAGATGAAATTTCTTATCCATTCTAAGCATCCCAAAAACGGATAGAGTTATCACTACGACCAGAAACTGATGTTTTTACATCAGGAGAGAAAAAGACTGAAAGAACAGCATCATCATAACCATGCAATTTGACTTTTTGTTATCCTGTTTTGACATTCCAGAGACGGATAGACTTATCTTCACTACCAGATGCTAATGTATTTCCATCAGGAGAGAAACATACTGAATTCACACTATTACTGTGACCATCTAATTTGGCTTTTTATTATCCTTTTTTGACATCCCATAGACGGATAGACTTATCATTACTACCAGAAGCTAATGTATTTCCATCAGGAGAGAAACAGACTGAATAAATTCGACTAGTATGACCATCTAGTTAGGCTTTTTATTATCCTGTTTTGACATCCCAAAGACGGATAGAGCAACCTTAACTACCAGATGCTAATGTATTTCCATCAGGAGAGAAACATATTGAATTCACACTATTACTGTGACCATCTAATTTGGCTTTTTATTATCCTTTTTTGACATCCCATAGACGGATAGAGCTATCCCAACTACCAGAAGCTAATGTATTTCCATCAGGAGAGAAACAGACTGAAATAACATAATGTTAATGACCATCTAATTTGGCTTTTTATTGTCCTGTTTTAACATCCCATAAACAGATAGATTTATCATCACTACAAGATGCTAATGTATTTCCATCAGGAGAAAAAAAGACTGAGTTAATACAACTAGCATGACCATCTAATTAGGCTTTTTATTATTCTGTTTTGACATCCCATAGACGGATAGACTTATCATCACTACCAGATGCTAATGTATTTCCATCAGGAGAAAAAAAGACTGAGTTAATACAACTAGTATGACCATCTAATTAGGCTTTTTATTATCCTGTTTTCACATCCCATAGACGGATTTACTTATTATGACTACCAGAAGCTAATGTATTTCCATCAGGAGAGAAACAGACTGAGTACACAGTTCCACTATGACCATCTAATTTGGTTTTTTATGATCCTGTTTTGACATCCCAAAGAAGGATTGATGTATCATAACTACTAGAAACTAATATATTTCCATCAGGAGAGAAACAGACTGAAATAACATAATGTTAATGACCATCTAATTTGGCTTTTTATTGTCCTGTTTTAACATCCCATAAACAGATAGATTTATCATCACTACCAGATGCTAATGTATTTCCATCAGGAGAGAAACATACTGAATTCACACTATTACTGTGACCATCTAATTTGGCTTTTTATTATTCTTTTTTGACATCCCATAGACGGATAGAGCTATCCCAACTACCAGAAGCTAATGTATTTCCATCAGGAGAGAAACAGACTGAAATAACATAATGTTAATGACCATCTAATTAGGCTTTTTAATATCCTGTTTTCACATCCCATAGACGGATAGACTTATTATGACTACCAGAAGCTAATGTATTTCCATCAGGAGAGAAACAGACTGACCAAACATTTCCACTATGACCATCTAATTTGGCTTTTTATTTTCCTGTTTTGACATCCCAAAGATGGATAGATTTATCATCACTACCAGATGCTAATATATTTCCATCAGGAGAAAAGCAGACTGAGTTAACAAAACTAGTATGACCATTCAATTTGGCTTTTTTCTTTCTTGTTTTAGCATCCCATAGTAAAACAGACCTATTTGCATTTCCAGAGGCTAAGGTATTTCCATCAGGAGAGAAACAAACTGTTAAGATAGTTCCACTATTACCGTCTAGTATTGATTTTTATTATCCTGTTTTGACATCCCATAAACGGATAGAACAATCACCACCCCTTTTTTTATTACCACTACCAGATGCTAATGTATTACCATCAGGAGAGATACAGACTGACCAAACAATGTCACTATGACCATTTAGTTTATTCAATTCATGGATTCTAATATTCTTCCATTAACAATCGAATAATATAGAGCAACTCAAATTTATTCCACTTAGATTAACATTATTAAATTAGGATCCACTAAAATTACACCTAAAAAAAGTGGCTCCCACCAAAGAAGTATTTTAGATTTTTATGTTTTCAAAATTTTTGTTCCTAAGGTCCACCTTCAACTAAACTAATAAATGTAATGAATTTGATCCCCCCTATATAAAAGTTTCATCAATAGATGTGAGCAGAACTAAAAATTACAGAAATTCAATGATCCTTTTATTATCCTTGATACTTTTAATTAGATTTAATGTAGATTCTTCATTTTATTCAGAGGAATAGTTTATCTTATTGAAGTCATGGTCTTTAAATTTTCTTAAGACTTCTGTGATTTATTTGATTTCATTTCTAACAACATACAATTTCTATTCTTTATCAGCCTGGGTGATATTCTCTCCTTTTTGTAAGATACATGATTCTAATTGACTTTGAGTCCCGTTATCTGAAAGATATCCAATGATGTCTTAAACTTTTTCCTTTCTTAATTTTTCTAATATGACACCAAAAATTTGCTCATCTACATCTTTTATATGACCAAAGATGTCAGCTAGAGCTTCCTTCTCTTAAAAATGGGCTTGCATATTCTTTTTTATTTTTAATAATGAATTTCTATTACTCAAAGTTTAAGTTATATACTGCAATATCGATAAAAGTATCTTGTGCATTTCTGTAAAATAGAAGTTAGGACTTTTTGTAGATTTAGAATTGATTTTAGTAGATGTAATATAGATTATTTTTATTTTATATGACTATGTTAATTTATTCAAAAATTGAGTTATATGAATAATTGCTTAATTTTTCTAGTTTATCTTTAATTTTTCAGCCACATGTTTTAAGATTGAAATATGTATACTATTGCAATAGGATTTTTGGATTTATTATTTTAATGTTATGTAAGGTTTTCTATATATCTCAAAAACTTAGTATTATCCTTAAGATAAAGGTTGTTACCTCTCCTGAAAAATAATTCTACACCTACATCCAAAACACTAACAAAAAAAAAACCCTCCCATCCAACACTTTAAAGGTCATCTCCTAGACGGTAATCTCATTCTCACCTTTGGCCTTATTACTCTGCTAAAGTAAAAACAGCAATTTTTTTGATACCAAAAATCGACAACTAAAATGGTGTATGTTATGAAATGTTGATATAAATAATTTTGTAAAAATATCATATTTTTAAATGACCCTTAAAGAATTTTCTAATATCCACCCTTCACAATTATCAAAAGGGTAGTTTCACAATTTTAAGATTTTATCCCAATTAATTAATTGCTTTTTTCAAATCTTTCAAAAATTATTGAATTTAATTCAGACATTTACTCAAGAACTTTGCAGCTAATAGACTTTTTGATTAAAATCTCCATTTAGATTATGCTATTTCTAATTTTTAATTTCATAACTTATGTAATTCAAAAAGTGTCTTATCACTTTATCCTATAAACATCTAATGAATTTTTTTAAGTTTAAATAATAGGTATCGCCAATTTAATAATCAAGTTGAAAAAAGATATTTGCGGTTTTCTTTTATTTAATAATCCTTACTATTAAACAATTTTATAATTTCTTCCTATCTAAACAATAATTACATATAATTTATGAAATAAAATTAAAGAACATATTTTCTTTAATATCATAAAGGCATGGTCTTCAAAGCTGTTTAGGTTATTTAGCTACTATAAATTTGTAATAACAGAAATTATGAAAATTTTTTAGAGATATTATAAATAGAATTAGATTAAATTGAAAAATAGAAAATTAAGAAGAATTATTTAATATCGCCAGTTTAACCATCACTCTCAAATTTTTAATAGAGAGCTTAAGATTTATAATTTCTTTAATATATTCTTTTTTCATAATCCATGGTAGTATCAGATAGATAATAATTTTAGCCCATATTTACTTTTTATTTAGAAAAGTATACACTGAAGCCTTAATTATTTCTATACCACCCTAAAAGTTCTCAGATCTTCCTATTTACTTATGATTTCACCGAATTACGAAAGCATATATAGCATATAAAAGAAAATCAATTGTTCAAAATCACTATGTTCTATTTTATCGCATTTCTATACTCTATTTCATTAGGAGTAGAGTTAATAGGGGATTACAAGATTTCCTATGCCACAGGACGTAAGAGAAGAGTTGAAAAAATATACAAGGAAATAGTAGAGCAACCATTAAAATAACAAAAATTAAAATTCGAATTAGAAAAATCCTTTATTGTTAAACTTTTGCACTTTTCCCTGATTATATTATTTGCTTAAGTTTTATTACAAACGAAATCTCACTAAAATCATCAAATGAATATTGAGTATTAAATACATGAGTGCATTTTTGTGAAATTTGTTATTTTAACTAAAAAGAATAACAAGTTTCACTATAGCAACTAGTAAATCCAATATACAATATTAAAGTAGGAAGAAGTGAGCAAGATTCTTTTCTGACATATTCCAATCTTGATAGTTAGCTGAAA